CTACAAATTCACCGCAGAGGAAGACGACGAGCTCGAATTTTCCGCCGGCGACATCATCGACGTGCTGGATAACTCCGATGCGTCGTGGTGGAAAGGCAGGCTGAGAGGATCGACTGGGCTGTTTCCCGCAAACTACACAGAGCAGCTGTAAGGAAACGCCACAGGCGATGATTTTAAAACGCCTGCGTGCGTTCAGACTCGATCTGCGGCTGCGTCAGCTCTTGATGGGTTTCTGAACGTGAACCAGCAGGCTTCTGTATGTGCTGCGTGTCAGCCTCCTACCAGAGGACTGAGGCAGTGCAGCTTTATTTACAAAGGAGCAGAGACACCTGCAGGAACTTCCTACAGCTCCCACACGTTCACCTGGCACACAGGAAATGCTGCAAATGATGCCTGAGGATGTTGTTTGTATCATGACGTGTCAGTAAGCATGTTGTCTGAATGCTTGCTGGCCAGGCTGCTGATGAATGGACTGTCTGCTCACTTTTGACACATTTTTATCAAAAAATGTTATTGACTTTTTAAATAAACTTTTTTTTATCACCACCTTCATGTTTAAATGATGCTCACTCATAACGAGGGCTTTCTGTGGGGTTTTATCTTATCACATTTTACCTGTGATATTCCTGATATTCATTTGGGTATTTCTATCGTTTTAAAGGTGAGTTTTTATTTATTTTATGTAAAATTTAATGTTTTATTCTTGGAGTTGGTCTCTGCATGATTCACAAATCAAAATAATCTTTCTTTTTTTTTTTTATCTCTTACTGGGCTTTGGTGCAGCTACCAGCCCTGAAATGAGCCATTTTAACTCCGCCCCCTTTAAAGATACATTTTTGTATTTTTTGTATTGTATTAAACTCTCACCACTAGTGGGCAGTGTTTTACTAGAAAGTTTTTAATGAATCACATTTAACCAACATTAATAACGTCACATATCGTTTTAGAGTCGTAGTAAAAATTATAAAAATGATTTGCACATCCATTTAAACTAGGCCGTGTAAGACCAAAGTGTAACGTCAATACAAAATAAATAAAATGCTGTTGTTAAGGATAATAAAAAAAAAACTAAAAATGTGAAAGTTAACAGAACAAAACTGAGGTTCAGAATATTAAAGATGCAGTAAAACCTATAATTACATTTATAAGGCCCTGCTGTATAACCGAGTCTTTAACGATAAAAAGAAGAAAAGACTATTAATGATGTGGTTAAAAAGCCATGAAGCACTAATCGAGCGAACAATATTCCTTGTGAATCACATATCTACAAAAAGCTAACATAGCAAACATAAACTGTTGCTGCATTTTTTTTATCGTTAATTTCCCAGACTCTGTGCTGGCGGCGACAAAAGTCGCTTCCCGAGTCCTTCAGCTGTAGCTGTTCTACAACGTCTTCCTCTCCGTCAGTATTTCCTCTTCCTCTTATGGCTGACTGGATGCTACAATCACCCACTGTACCTCTTGTGGTTCAAATTTGCAAATGCACTGTTTACAGTTTGAGCACACATTCACACCAGCGCTTTTTTCACACATTTACACAGTTCGACATGCAGACAGCCCTACAATATTTAACTTTAGTCGATTTGTCTTCAGCACAGTACAAACACGATATGGAAATCATAACCGAGGTTGTTTCTTTAAAATTTTTTGGCTGTTTTAATTAATTTCGAAAGCTTTAAATGTGTTTTAAACACAGGAAGTTACATTCAGTTGCTTTTAAGGCTTCACTTTAAGCTAACTTTCTTCTGATTGGTTGTCTCTCGCAAACAAGTGGGTTTGCAAGCAGGTGGGTGAGGCTTTGGTGCTCACAGCCAGAGATGAAAAAGTTCATATTCACAAGGTTAATGTGAACATGAACCAATGGAAGACAAAACCTGACAGAAAATAATAGAAATCATGGCAGATGTACTTGAATTATTGTCCACCTGCTTAACGTTAACCAAAACTCCAGAAGTACACTCATATGGAAAAGATATATATAAATCTTATAAAGTTTTTATCTGTCTTGTATGAAACTTGTATGAAAAGCATACAAGAGTGAAAACACATATAAGATCCCTTGAAAAATTATATAATGAAACTTGAATGTTTTGTATACTTACTAAAAAAAATATATGAAAGTAATGAGAAAGTGGACACTTTCATGAGTAAATCATATGTTTTTACTATTTCTTTTCCATATGGGCAGTTAAGGAGAGTTGCCCTTCAAAATAAAATCCCTATTAAAGACAAAGAAATTGCACTCGTTTTACTTTTTTGATGCAAGGAACAAAGAACTCATTTAAAACTTCCCCACTGACTTTGAGACTTCTGGAATTTAAAAAAAAAGACACTTATATACTTTATTTTTTCTTACAAAAATTCATGTGTGTATAACAAGCAGGTAGTTGTGGTGGTTGAAAGTGATCCTGTCAGTAGCTTGTTGTACAGCTATGGCACCTGGAAGTGGAGATGAAAACAGCCCAACTCAATACAAATAAACCCAATATCACATTTCTGACAACATAACTTAATAAAAAAAAAAATGAAAATTTGCTCATAGACTATAACATAGAAAAAAGTAAAATACTCAATAAATCCAAACATCTGTGTCTTTGATGTAAGAGAAAGTTCACTGTCTGATATCCATTTGTTATCCAGAGTCACTCAAAGCTTTTTCTCTAAAGAAAGCTCACTGAAGAGTAGCAGGACAGCATCTATTTATAGCTGCAGAAAACAACCCCCATGTCTTGTGGAATGACATCAGTGACAGTTTTATCTGAACCATCAGATGAAGGGAGTTTTGAGCAGGGTACCAACGACACTTTTTAGTTTGCAGAGAGCACCGCTAATGTAACATGCATCCATTTCTGTATCAGAAACTTTCACACAGGCTCTGCGTCTCGTTAAGATCCGGTGCTCTCTTACTTTAGGCCAGGGATGAGAAGCGATGTTTGGTTTCTAGGTGACTAAGATAACATGTGTGGAAACAGGAAGCTTTTGCAGTAATATCTCCAGACAGTTTTTTTTTTCTTTAGGTACTTTTGTGTACCAGCATGGTGGCATCGTGGTTAGCACTGTTGCCTTACAACAAGAAGGTCCTGAGTTTGACTCCACCGTCTGTGAAGTTTCCATGTTTGTCGTGTTTGCGTCAGTTCTCGTCGGGTGCTCCTGCTTCCTCCCACAGTCCAAAGACACGCAGTTAGTGAGGTTAGGTTAAGTGGTAACTCTGAATTTCCCATAAGTGTGAATGGTTGTGTGTCTCTTTATGTTAGACTGGTGACCTGTTCAGGGTGTACCATGTCTGTCACCCTGTGGCAGCTGTGATAGACTCCAGCTCCTCTGCAAACCTGATAATGATAAGTGGACGTGAATAGATGTTTTTGTTTTTTTCCCCTCATCACTACTAATCAGGGCCTGGTGATGTGTTCTGATATAGAACATTTAAGATTTAATTCCTTACTTTTTGTGCAAAATCCCAAAACACACCATTTGGGAACCTTTGCTTCGGAGTTATTATAGTTTTGTATTTTCTAATTACTTTTTATTTTTATTCTATTTTGACTTTTTGCTTTCAGTTCAGTTTAGTTTCTGTTGGTTTCCAGATTGGATTTTTTTTTTGTTTACGTTCAGTTTAAATTGTTTGAACATGTTTAGGTTTATTTTATTTTATTTTTTTAATTTTCACTCTTAGTTTTAGTCTTTTTGATTGTTATTGAATGGAGGGAATATGTCATTAGCAATATTTAGGAAAACCAGTACAGAAAGTACAATAACAAGACAGTAATAAAATGTTAAATGTAATAGAAATTTTTACCAAACTGAAAAATATATAAACTTTTTATTCTTGGTTTTGCTGTCCTGTCCGGCACTGCCGCAATCAGAATTCTTGTCTGAAGGCCAAGAAAGGTCGACTTCATAGTCATAGTTTATTAGATTTTTATCAGAACGCACAGGACCGAACAGAATAAGGAAAGAGAAGTTGGGGAGAGAACAGAAGGAGAGGGAGAGAAAAATAGAGAAGAGGGATAAAGAAAGAAAGAAAAGACTGAAAATCTGCTTCAACACCTGCTTAAAAAAAACAAAAAACAAAACGAAAATAACACAGCAAGGAAACCATAGCAACAACCAACACAACCACGAGTAACAGTAAATAATAAATATTAAATGTTACTGAGCAGCACATGGTATTAATGATGCATGATATGTTTCGAGGCAGCAGCTGACCAAGATAGTGAGTGTCTGTGAGTACTTGTTTGCAAACCTGTGTGTGTGAGTGCGCTTGTATTCATAAGGTTTCTCCATGTAAGTGTTTGATAGTGGGTGTGGGGAGCCACAGCCCTGCCCCCCAGGACATGAAGCAGGCATGGAGGAGACCCGGGTCCCTGACATCTACAGGCCCCCTCAGAGCACGAAATCCCAAGGAGGACCACCGCAGGGGCGATCACGCCACCCACCTGGAAAAGGAGGAGAGCTCCGGACGATGGTCACCCAGAAGCCACGGTGGGCAGCAGTGACGACGAGCCTGCAGGCTCCACAAGCAGCCGGCTAAGCCAGAGCAGACTGAGCCCTGGACCCAGAGACCCGAGAGCCCCCACACCCTGCAAGGGGCCCGATAGAGCCAGGGGGGCCAGGCCCCGCCAAGCAGCAGAGCCAGAGTGAGCCAGTGCACACCCGAGCACACAGCCCTGGACAACGAGAACTTTTTTCAAAAGTCTAGTTTTTATTTTTATTTTAGTCACATAAGATGCTTTTCTGCATTTAGTTTTAATTTGAAGTATTTTTTAGTTGGGATGCAAAACATAAGACTCCAAACCGACCTCCTGGAAACCTTCGTACATAGATTTTGAACTTTTAGCTGCATTGTCATAAATTTTGCAGCTTTTCCTACTGATAAAGACTCCTCCCGCATTACCATTTATACTACACCAAAGTAGTCAAGTAATAGATAAAACAATGAAATGACATAAAAGTTCCTGTTTTCCACTATCAACTAAAATCTCAGTTTTTGAACTGCATTTCTAGTTCTCATATTAGGTCAAGTAAGGGATTAAATGAGTAGTTAAACTTCTTTACAATAATGCTTAAGAGCAAAGTAGTGTGTATATGGCCCATAACATAAAATAAGTTTGACATCTCTGGTTAACTACAATAACGTTCCTCTACTCTGAAGGATCCACCACTGACAAACTTCCGTTGTTGCCTTTTGAAAGTTGTACTCTGAAAGTTTACAGGCCGGATGTTCTTTAATAACGTGCCTGTTGGCTCCGCCCCCTTGCTACCTGTCAGCACAGGTATTGCGGTTCTTGGGAAGCAGCAACAGCAGCAGCGGAATCAGCAGCGGTGGCGCACTGAGGGGGAAGTTATTTTTAAATCTTTGGGCCATGGCGGAGTCTCAGCTGGTGTGCATGGATGATGAGCACATTAACGAGAAGGTCCCGGAGTCCAAGCCGGAGTTTTACTACAGTGAGGAGCAGCGTGCGGCCCTGGAGCAGCTGCTGAGGAATGGGGACGGAGCCTTCAAGATGCGCCTCCAGGAGGACAACACCAAAGACTTCCTATGCGCCCGGGAGGTCAAAGTTATCCGCAAAACTTTCCACGAGTACGACACGGACAGCGACTCCGAGTCCGGGGAGCACGATAAGTCCAAGGGCTCCTCCAGCGCGGACTCCGGGGTCCACTCCACCTACTGGCCCCAGATGTCCGACACAGAGGTCCCGACTCTGGACATCGGTTGGCCCGGCAGCAGCGGCGTCTACAAGGGGGTGACCCGGGTGTCCGTGTACACCCACCCCCCCAAAGAGCAGGGACCGCACATCAAGGCGGTGGTGAGGAGGCTCATCCAGGAGTCACACAAGGTAACAGAAAAGAAGAGAAACCCTGCATATCCACCCTGTTTACAGCATCTAAACCAAACTCACATTTACGCACAAGTGTTTTAAAGTTTTTCTTTAATTATTCACATTTTTCTATAATAACCCACCAAATTTGGGACACCCTGACTTATAGGAACTTCAGTCCTTTTATTTGTTAACCTGAAGCGATAAAAACAGTCAGGGCTGCAGGTGAGTGTTCGCTTAGTCTGTGATGTAGTGCTTATGAAGCCAGAAAACAGTGAGAAGTATTCAGTTTTGTCCTGATTTAACTTCAAACCCACAGAGATTCAAATTCTACAGGCATGAAATAGTGAAACTTTAAATAAGAAGAAACCTCTGAGCTTTCCTGCCGAGCACTTTGCTTCTTACATGACTTGCCTCTAAAAGTGCTGATACAAAAATGTGACTGCATGCATCAAACAATAAAACAGGTGGAATAAAACACCTGCAGATTCAGATTTAGGAAAGTTTACGAGTCAGCTCCTGCACCTAAACCAAACAAAGGAAACTCCTTTCTTATATATGGAGCGATTAAAGGAGAAGTCCCTGACCTACTTCTAACAAAGAAGGAGAATAACACTGTAATACTAACAGCGATTGGCTGCAGAGGCTCACCTGACCACCCAACAAAACAAAACAGGAGAATATTCACTATTAACAATAATAATCTTTAGTTTCAGGCCTGCTTGAATAAAGATTATTCAAAGATTTCTTCAATAATTCAATCTGTACCTTAGTCGTCCATGCTGTCATGTATGCATATAACTCACATTGTGGCATATATATGTACACTTTGTACATGTACATACATTTTGCAGGTTTACATCTTGATAACTGCACCGTCTTAACAGTTTAATGAGTCGCCACAGAGCAGAAGCTGCAGGCGGGTTTCAAGTTTTTCACATTTGTCGTAACTCAAAGAGCTTTTTGTCATTTTTCAGCTGTAAGTCAAAGTGAAAATAAAAGATACACATCTGACTTTTTATCTGGAATTTCCATCGTCACGGCGCAGCGCTCTGCTCCGGTGCTCCGAGTTTCAGCTTGCAGCGTAAAAAGGAATGATTGATTTATTCAGGGTTTCTTTGGGAACGTCATAGTGGGAAAAGCTGCTGCTGTTTTCTTTTCAAACAGAAACTCAGTTGGGTTTATTTCTTCATATATTCCCTCTGATATTCTCTGATACTTCTCGTGGGATATCTGTACTTTTACATAAAGTAGTTGTACTTTTGAGGTGTCTTGTGGCCTTCAAGTATAGGACTTAAATTGGTTTATTTCAGACGGAGGATGAGCTGAAGGGATGTACTGACGTCTAGCATAAGATAAAAACGGATCATTTTGACCTGTGCTACTTAATTAGTGACCAGTAATAAAAACATCGAACTGGAAATGTTGTGTAGTATGTCACTTTTAAATACTTTTTAATAAACCGAGAGGCTAATAAGAAGAAAAGGTTCTGGAGGCCCGAGTAAGTCCACTGCTGTGTTTGAGGTTATTTTAATGAGTGGTTCTCAGATTTTGGCTAAAGGTTGTTCTGTTGTCAATGTTGCCCTGAAAGAGACGTCGTTGTGTTTCTATCTCGTTGGGTCCCTGCAGACAGGGTGGTTATGACTAAAACATGATCACCTGATCACCCATCGCTGTCTTTATGAAGAGAACTACTCCCGAGGTGCTCCAAGGTTTTTCCTGGCTTTATCTGGTGTTTAGGTTCCTATTCCACATGTCGATGAGATTCTTTTGAGTTTTCTCTCGTGAGTTATCAGAAAACAGATCAAACAATCGGGGTACCAGGGGTTGATTTATTAAAGTTTTCTGTTAAAAATGTAATTCATCCCATGATACTAATGCTAAAAGCTGATTATCGGAAACATAAAAAAGATAAATAAATAATAATTAAAGATAAAATAAATATTTTTGGAACATTGTGATGCAGTTGGTGTTTCTAAAATTGATTTAGTTGGAAGTTTTAACAGAGATTAAATGTTTTTTTTCAGCCTTGAAAATCTCATTGATTGAAGTTATGAAGGTTCAAAAATGCTCAAATGGAAAAACTAACGAGAACTGTAAAAGTGGCAAAATTCGACCTACTTCTGTGAGCTGTCAGAAGCTGTAACACTGACAAAGTCCATATTCTGAAGGCCACATTTTTTTTAATGGTTTCATTAAGTTACTGAAGTTAAGGAATCGGACGGAAACTTTTCTCAGATCTGTTTGATTTTAACCAGCACACTCACTGCGCCAGTGTATCCTCACGTCCTCTTTCTCAAAACGTAATGACCAGCAAACTGCACACGGTGTGTTTGAGGGGCATCTGCAAGTTGTAGCGCTGCAGTAGCGTTGTTGTAACGCTTGTTCAGAGAATTTTCTAGTAAGGTAGAAGGAGGTGAGGGTTAACGAAGCCAGCGTGGGTAAATAAAATGATAAAAGCTAAATGAATGGGAGAGTCCTGTGCAAGTTTTAACAAGCTGAGTCATTAAAACGCAGAAGGGAAAAGCTGAGTGGCTGAGTGGCAGCCTCCCCCAAGATCCCGCAGACCAGGTTAAGGTTGGCATTTAACAAGCTGCTCTTTTTAAAAAAAAAAACAAAACGTTTCTCCTCGCCCACTTGGAGTTTTGCACGACTCCGTCTGATTGGCTCAAATCCCAGGTGCGAAAATCATAGCTAATGAGGAGAATCGCTCACTTGCGATTGGTTTTGACAGGCAGCACCAGAGGCTGTATTTGCTGGGTGGAAAGACGAATAAAGATGTGCAGAACTCATCATATTTGAATAGTTAATAATCCACTTTATTATCCATCTACAGCAGTCTGCTCAGCGCCGTGTCAGCTTAATGAATCAGGCACAGATTGCTCCCCTTCAGGTAAAATAACTCATCCCCTCCTAAAAGCCTGACAGATACTTGGAAGAGTCCTTGTGCAGTTTAAGTGGTGCACGCACGCACACGTTAATCCTGGATGCATAACATTACTCTACAGGAGATCATTATCACAATCCAAGAGAAGAGCTGAGATGTACATATGAAAGAGCCGAGGTGACGGTTACCGGTCGAACTGCATTCAAGAGAAAAAGCAGAAAATGTCGCCTGAAAGGGAAAGAAAACAACGAGTTCTTCGATTCAGGTGATGTCATGCGTATTTTCATGTACAAGAAGAAGGTGCACTTCACCAGAATCCCATCAGGAGAAGTCATTTACACAAGGTGTTGTCCATTCACGTCACAGGGCTCAAGTGTTTGATCCAATTTGCCACAGTGGAAGGTTTTCCATTATATCACACGTGATGATAGATACCAGAGAAAACAAGCTGAAGCCCAGCCATGAACAAAGACTGGCAGCAGCAATCGCCAACAAACACCCAGAGCTCTCCAGGTGTTTCCAGGTCGTTAAAAGTAACAATAAAAATATTACATTGATCTTTGCTCATGTCTAAAGTGTCACTTCAGCTACTAAATAAACTGTGTGTAAATTCTTTTTTTTAGATGTCTGTACATGATAAAACATGAACATGGCTTTCGGGGCTGAAAAACTGATGCTAAATCGGATCAGAGTGACTGTGAGGTGTGTTTTTTAACTGTGGGCATTTGAAAAGATCTCGCTTAAATATAAATATGTCAGCTGTGGACATCACTTTATCCCAGTTCTCAATTCAATTCAATTTCTTTATTGTCCCACAAGTGGAAATTAGTTTAGCAGCAGGATAAAAATAAACAGAACAATAATATAAAATAATAATGACAATAATAGTAATAGAAAGTCCAAGGATGGTTATTTGCCGGGACGCCTACTAGGAGTAACTGTTGGAGCTATGAACTGTTTCTGTTATATTTCAGGCTTCTTACAGAACAAAATAACTGTTTGCATCAGAAGTTAGTGAGGCTGGTCTCTGCTTATGCAGCTACACCTGAAAAAAAAAAAACCCTGGAAACTGTTCTAATGGTTGTTAAACCACTTCTCTATGGGGGGAACTGTTGTGTTTTTCCTTATTTCCTGTAATATACACAGGTACTATGCTCCAGGTGGACCCTGAGTGCCAAGGCCTCTAAACACTGTTTCAGTTGTTCTTACTGATGATGGTTGTGTGTTACAGAGAAGTCCCACCCACCTGCTGTTCAAACCTTATGTTTATGAGCACCAGCCAATCAAGAGAAAGTTTGCTTAATGGAGGAGGGGCTAAACCGGAAACGGCTTATGTCAGGCAGAGGGGCAACTCAGGGTCTGCACCAAAGGCTGGTATAAGACAAATAAGAGTTATTTTGAACTGTGAGTCATGTAAATACTTCTCTGCTGCTGACAGGTGCCTTTAATTAATTTTTAAAGCCCTCATTGAAAGCACAATGCTATTGGCAAATCTCTGTACCCACCTAAAAGGAGTGGTTGATTTAAAAACTCAAATTTCACAACAGCGCCATCGTAAACCTGCTGTTTGTGGACAAACAGCCCAAACCTCTTTTAGGTGAACTTGTAAACCACTACAACTGAAGTGGATCTAATCTGCTCACTTCCAGCTCCATATTTTTACTCTTGGAGTCTAAAAGAGTAGCTTTACATAAGTCACATTTCAAAATAATCCTTCTTTCTCTTGTGCTTGGCCTCGTTTCACCCTCGGTTGAAAATGAACTTCTACATACACTTATTTTAAAACAATAAAATAAGTGTATGTTATCAGGTTTATCAGCCAGAGCTCGTGGAAGGTCAATGTAATAAAACAGTCTTGGCAGGTGGAATAACCGTTAGCCATACCAAGTGGGCGTGTATGAAAATAACGCTTCAATTTCCAGAAAACCTTGAAATAGTTCAGATTAAGCATTTTCTGGATAGATGTTTTTTCCAACATAAAATGCATCGTAAGCAGTTTGGATGAGAATTTGATGACGGGAGCTTCACTGAGTCATGCCTGGTTTACTGTGTTATTCAAACTCAAGAACTAGTTTCAGTTTGCTGGATGAGTCCCAAACAAACTGTAATAAGGAAATGGGGAAAAAAGAGTCACATGATCTTTTGAAACTGCTCTTAAGGGTACAAAAACCAGGAGAGGCTATAAAACATCTCAGTACAAACAGCAGTCTTATTGGTCTAATAAATCCAGTACATAATTAAACTGTATGCTGTAAAGAGTTATAAATGCATCTGTTAGAGATGTAGCTGCTGATTTCTTGCTCAGATTAGCGGTGCTGTGAGTCGTAGCCGTTGCTGGCATTTGTCCAAACTGTCTTTGCTAAAACTTTTAATCGCCTAGAAAAACAAGTTATGCAGAAGTGTGAACTGCTGCCGTGGTGGAAGGTTGCGTGTTTAAACTTCATATCACAAGACTAATGACAGGTTAGCGCCCTGGTGCCTTTGTTCGGACTGGCAGTGGGAGTGGTGGAAACATTCAGATGTTGTTTTAATGTTTAAATGGTGCATCCCGCAGCCGGATTTAAAAGTAAATACACAGGAATCGTGACTTTTCCCCATCAGGCTGGTCTGAGGTGTTTTACAGGAAAAAAACAGAAGTGGTTTCAGCTTTTATTTCCTTACTGAATTACCTGTGCACTTGCCATTCACTTTATTAGATTCAAGAAGGTGCTGGAAACACCTGAGGTTTTGGTCCATGGTGAGAGCACGAGAAGCATCATAGAGTTAGTGCAGATTTGTCTGCTGCACGCCCATGATATGTGTCATATGAAGATGGGTACACTGTGATCATAAAGGGATGGACACGGTCCGCAATAATACTGAGTGCTGAACGGTTACTAAGACAGTCAATGACATCACCGTCAGCAGCCTAAATGCTGGTACAAGGCAGGATAGATAAGTGCTTTCATGTCATTAAAGCCAAATTGTGACCCTACCCTCTGAATGCCACAGCATAAATGTAGTTTGTTGCCCAAGACACTTTAAATTTGTGTGATGAAGTGATCAATGAGGACATAAAGTTTGGACTTGGTGTATCCGTGGATGCTTCCTCTGTAACTTCAGGGTTCAGAACTCGGAGTTATATCTAAATCATAGGTATGCTGCAACCACACACTTGTGCTGTAACCTGACGTGCATCTTTCTAGAGAGGAAAATACTCGTTGCATTGTTGCAGTGAGTGCAGTCATTTCCTTCAACTCATTTCTGGTTACTCCTTCTTGTGCTGCTATTTTTCAAACTGACTAGAAGGGAACTGAGCAACTCGGATAGAGAAACTCAACCACCAACGGGTATTTTAGCATCGCAAGCATAATGTGCACAAGTATAAATGCTGGCAATGGTTTCGGCCTGTTGCACAGCCTACAGCCTAAATTCTGTGTAGATTTAAAGCCAAATATAAATTAGCTCGGTCATGCTGTGACCGCAATGATACTATTAAATCCAGAGGCTTAGCTGAGCTTATCTCCAGTCATAGTGAAAAATAAATGTGTCAAATAAATGTGTCATATCACACATTCTAATATATCTGCTGATTGACTGATACATAAATGAAGAAACAATGAAAATGACTGATTTGTTTTGTCTGTTAAAGTTGGTAACAAGGTGTCTTCTATAAGGATCCCTCCTTTCTAATCATTCATTATTGCTGACTTCGCCTTTATGTGTGTGTCTGGTATGAAATTCTTTTGTCTGTTTGTCTGTTTAACAAACAAAAATGAAACTTGCATTTCTGTTCCCATGACTAAAGGCACAAAAAGATGGGTTTTGGTTTTTTTACTTAGTCCCAACGTCTTTCGGGTTTTATTTCATATGTTTTCTGTTATTATGTACACGACTGCGGTGACAAAACCGTGACGTCTGCTCTTTATTGATCTGTCAGTTAGAGTGGGTGTAAGTGTGTATAGATAGACTGCATTTTTACATGACTCATTTCATGAGTTTACATTTTTTAAATATCTTTAAAGTTCACACCAAGGCTACCAAATTAATTTCAGATGTGTGGGATGAAAAAGCAAAAGTAAAAGAGAAATAGTTTTGCTGATGGGGCTGGACCTGGAGTTGAACTGCCAACCTGACTGCTCACAACCATCCTCATAGCCTCTGTAGCTCCATGCAAAATGTACTTAAGTTTAACAGTAAGCAAATAAACTGGTATAAATGGAAGTCAGGACCACCTTATGAACTGTTAAACAACTTTAAACTAGCTTTGAAATAAAAATTTCAACCAGCTTGCGGTGAGCACACATGGTGCGAACATTAGGGGATGCCCTCAGTCACATGCTATCTGCTTTAAATGGCACTAAAACTTTGAGAGCCTCAATCCAATTAGTCTCAATATTTTGTGAATTATTTATTATATTTGAATAATATTCACATACTTGTGTATTGTGTATGCTTGCTGTTAAAGTCTTCTTCTTTTGTTCAGCAATTGTTGTTTCCAAATTTAAAAAAAAATATGTTAATGGATATGCACGAGTAACGTGAGATGGCTCCTCTCCCGTCTGTTTCTCGCAGGTAGTGGCCATCGTCATGGACCTCCTCACGGACCTGCAGATTCTCCAGGACCTGCTGGATGCGTCGTCACGGCGTGGCGTGGCAGTTTACGTTGTGCTGGAGGCCAGGGGAGTGCCCCACTTTCTGGATATGTGCTCTCGGCTGCAGATTAACGCGATGCATCTGCGGGTGAGCAAACAGAGCGCTGCAGAGAGAGGAGCTTCTCTAACACAGTAAACAAAGAGGAAATGAACATGGGAAAACAGCTCAGTAGGTCACTGCTGAGTCCTGGAACAATGCTGATGACGGCTGGAATTATCCCAGATTAAAACGTATTCTGAATCATAGGCCAGGCTTTCTGGGAAATCGCTGACAAGTTAATTACCTCAAAGGTTTGATCTAGTTAAAACATGAACCAGGAAAACTTGGCAATACACTTACCGAACCAACTACAAAAACCTTACATTTTCCCACTTAACCCTAAGGGTAGTTTTATGTTTGATTTCTCATAACTGCCTTTGCAGCAGCCTATTGGAAGTTACAGGAATTTCGTTTGTGAAACCTGCCAATTTACTGCTCAGAAAAGTATCCAGCATTGAATGGATGGAGTAGTTTTTAATGGGACTTTTAAAGAATTGATACAGCTTAACATAAAACATAAACAGTAGACGGTTAGCTAAAATTTTGAGTAAATGGTTGAAATAGTTTTTAAAAAGGGATAAAATTAACAAATTAAATAGTTAAGTCAGCAAAATAGTCAATGATTAAGGATGAAAAAACGCATTTTATATAAGTAACTGAAATAGATTGCAAAGATTTGCACGAACTGTTACACTAGTTAGCTAAAAGTAGCGGATGTAGCGGTTAGCTAAAATTTTAAGTAAATGATTGAAATAGGTTAAAAATAGGATTAAAGTAACTGATTAAATTGTTCAGTCATAAAAAAAGTCAAAGATTGAGGCTGAAAAAGTATTATCTAAGTAACTAAAACAGATCATTAAAGGTTTCGCAAGAACAGTTTAACTAGTTAGCTAAAAGTAGCAGACGTAGTGGTTAGGTAACTGATAAACAGCAGGAAATCAATAAAATGTGAGGAAATGGACTTGTTGGAGCACTTGTGTGAAAATATGTGTGAAAATAAAAAGAAGTATTTTCCTTCCAGTGTAAAACAGGGAGGGTCAAATTAATAATTTTTGAGGAATTACTGGAAAATCGACTGCTGAGCAGACGCTAGCACGAGCTAACATGTAATTGCTGCTTCTTGTGGTGCAGAACCTGAGAAGTGACATTAGGTGCTGATTTAGATTAAGCGCAAATAGTGAGTCATCTGTCATCCTATCTTCACCGTGTCATAATACCCAGTCTTATCTGTTGTATGCAGAGTTTTTCAGCTCCACTCTGGTTTAACCGGAGTGGTGGAATGGCTGGCCATTGTGGTATCAGTTTATAAGGCTGTGAAAGACCCTTTCAGAGTGCCGGGCTCTGTTACTGTTACTAGTGACAAGGGAACATTCATAGATCTTGAGAACAGATCCAAGGACAGTAACTTGACGCTCTCACCCCACGCCAGGGTTGACACCACAGGAGAGCCTCCTCCCAGTTTGTCTACCCAGCATTTACGTCCTTTTCTTTTTCCTGCTTCCCTCTAAGTAAACAGAGGTGGCTGAAGTGTTTGGGTTTTAGCCTTTACTTATTATGAAAGCTGACTTTATGTTTCTGGGTGTGCCTGCAGAAATTTGACTTGGCATCTCTGTAAATCAGCCAGTCATCCTTGAAAAAGCCACGGATGCCCGATAGCTGGGGTCCATTTACTCACTGTGTGACATTTTTGACACAGGTAAGCCAGTGTGTAATCCAACAGGTGTTTCTTTTACAGAATCTACGTGTGCGGATGCTAAAAGGTGCAGGGCTGGCCCTGTCCTTTGGAAAACTGCCAGGCTCCCTGTGCTCCAAATACATGCTGGTAGATGGAGAGAAGGTCATGTTCGGGTCTTACAGGTAAATATCAAACCAGTGTTTCTTTTTGTGGTCAGGTGCATTCAAAGGAAGCAGAAAAGGTTGATAAAGCAACCTGTTTCAATTTATTATTTTATGTAAGATTTTATAGCACCCAGAAGAAGAAAAATGTAAATAAAAACAGAATACAATAAGTTGCAAGTCCCATAAACACATTTTATTCATAACACAACACAGAAAACTGAGACATTTCATGAAAAATATGCACTTATTTTGAATTCAGTGGCAGCAAAATGTCTCAAAAAGTCATGGAGCAACAAAAGGCTGGACAAGTGGTACTTAGAAAATAGCTGGAGGAATGTTTTGCAAGTATTTGTGTTAATTGGGAGCAGGTCAATAACATGATTGGGTCTAAAAACATCTTAGAGAAGATGTTTGAGGTAAAAATGGGCAGAGGTTCACTAATTTTCATTAAACTGCATCTGCAAATTGTGTAAAATTGAGAAAACCTATGTCTCGTCATCTAGAGTACACAATCTTCCAAAGATTCAGAGAATATGGAGAAATCTCTGTGTGCAAGTGACAAGGCTGAAAATCAGCACTGCATTAAAAGCAGGAACACTTTCAGAAATCACTGTCTGTGAACACAATTAACTGTGCCATCCACAAATGGAGGTTAAAGCTCCATCATGCAAAGACGTCTTCTCTGTCTTTATCTTCATATCTCATGCCTTTGTGCCTATTGAACTGGCAGCTTGCACATCTGGAAAATCTACCGGCACACCTACATTTGCTACTGAAAGGTGCATATAGTCTACAGATCAACATATGCTCCGATCCAGACAATGCTATTGAGGAAAACATCCTATTTTACTGTCACTATATATCAGTAATAAGGCACTGTTATTATTTCATTATTACTTAATTAGTGCGCATCAGCTTATCATCACTAAACTCTGCAGTTTAGCTTTTTCAGCTAAACTGCAGAGTTTCTATTAGAATAGCACAGAATAGATGCAGTATGTGAACTGACCAGCCAGCAGTCCGGGAGCACCATGAAACTAAAAATACGACAAAGAAGACAGAGGACTGTTGAACAGCTCGAGTCCTATATCAGACCACAATGGGAGAACATTTCTCTTCTACAAGTCCAGCAGCTGCTCTCCTCAGTTGTTTACAGAGTGTTGTTAAAAGCAGAGAGGACGCTACACAGTGGGAAACACGGCCCTGTCACAACTCTTTTGAGACACATTGCTGCCATCAAATTCAATATGAGCCAAGATTTTTCTTTAAATGGTTTAAATATTTGATACTTTCTGTGTTTTATTTTGAATAAAATATAGGATTATGAGATTGCATTCTGTTGTTATTTACAATTTACACAGCGTCCCAACTTTTTAGGAACTGTGGTTGTACAAAAATTAAATTATACTATATACAGCAAGGTGTTTGTTTTCTGATGTCTCTATATGCTGTAAGGAATGGGATGGATTTAAATATTCACACTAACAGATAAATCATGTAATTAAGGTATGCTCTCGTTGGGAAATGGAAAATCCTTCAAAATAAAAGTCCAGCTTAGCGTGCCGAGTCCAGTTGTATCTTGTTTTTGGTCAAAACTTTGAACCGCTTGACCTCCTATATTCGACTCCATGTTACGGTGACATGTTCAGAGTCACAATTGAGACTCATTTGGACAGTTTCACTTTTACACATAATACAGTGTCCCTCTGACACAGTTTCACTCCAAAGCAGATCAACTGATCCTGACATGGTTATTAAATAACCATTATTTGTGCTTCATTTGATTGACTATTTGTATCTTTTGTATAAACCCAACATAATGAGAGCAGCTTGTTTGTGACTGTTAGGTGTGAGACATTTTCTCTAAAAGCAGCCGGCACAAAAGGAACTCCATTAAACCTCCAAATAACTCCTTACACACTCTGAAGCTTATTAATCTTGTAAAATGACTAAAGTGCTTTTTAAACACACTCTCTTCTTATCTGCTGTTGGTTCAGTGTGGGAAAAGATAAATGTATTGCTGTAGATCCGCTTTTTGGTAAATGTCGTTGGTGACCGAGCCGGACGTTTATGACCTGGGAGATTATTATAAGGGAATCGTACCGCTTTCTCCTGAGTGCTTTAAAATGATTAAGTAGTTTCAGAGAAACCATTAAAACAATAAAAAAAACTTACACTAGGTGAAAGTATGACATTTAAATGAAATCCTACACCAGGCAGTGATGCGGGTGAATTAATTATCCAGCTTTTAAAGATTTCTACAGTTGATTAAGTTTTTTTTTGTTTTGTTTTATTTTTTGGTTGCAATATCCACAAATTAAAGGCATTTAGCCTCTGTCTGTACTCAATGTACCTCTCTTATCTTCCTCACTCATTTTTAATTGTAGTAATACATTGCTTTGTTTTATTCTGTTCCTTTCTATTCTGCAACCTTTTTCCAGTATTGCAAATGGTACCGCTGCCAGATCCACACAAAAAAGGGCTTTCTCTCCTTATCCTTCACATTAAAAGCCCTTGGCATATACAGTGCATGACTGCTGTAGTAAGCTGAAGCGTTTTACAGCACATTCTGGGATCAAAATAAAACCTTATTTATTAGTTTAATAGTTCAATTAAGTTTTTTTTCATACAGTGTCAAATCACAACAACATTAAACCAAGTAAATGAACGATTAAAGATTTGAAACAAACAAATAAATAGATAAATTTTATCGCTGCTGAGGATAAAAAGAATTCTGCAGAGGTGAACATATGTAACCCAGAAGGGGGGAGATCATATAACAACCAGTGCACGCCTAAATACAGTTAACGGCATAAAAAACATCGAGCCTACGTTTCCGTATAGCAGTCATATCAGTATGAACAGTGAATATAAATGTCAGGTATCAATATAAACAGTAATTTTAATGCAAATCTACAAAGAAAAAGATTCCTTTTAACCTGCAGCAATGACAGGAAGTACACGCATTTTTGCACGTGTTGAATAAATCAGGTTTCTGGTGCAGATTGGGCTATGACAAAAGCTAACATTTATCTTTTTAAAAATCTAAATCCAGGACATTAAATCGAATGTTAGTGATGGCCGCACTGGGAAATGGAGATCACATTAAGAGCCAGACACATGCAGTGCACTGATATGCTTTAAATGAACTGAAACATAAAAATCTATTGTTGTTGCACATCCCAGAAAGACTTCTTAGATACAGTTTAGTCTACATAAAGGCAAAATAATGTCATTTGTTCAGTTTTAGATGTTGTGTTGCCATAACTACATACATGCTGATAAAACAGCTGCAACCATTAGTGCAAAGTTCAGAATTGCAAAAGAGCTCGATTTCACCTCTGAGCTCCGAGTTTGACAGGATCCACACAGCTGTATTCTCGTTGTTAAATCGCTGTTCTGAAAGCTGCAAACAAAAAAATGAGTCTGAATGCACGTCATCTGACCACATCAGTGATGAGGCGAATCTTCCTTCACTGACTAAAGTCAAAACTGAACTGGAGGGACCGATTTGTGGCAGGTGAAATGAGCACAGTCATGTCCTGACTCATGCGTGATGCCTCGTTACGAATGCAAGTTTAAATAGAAAAGTTACAGGCTGCAGCTATGTGGTCAACACCGAGGGCTCAAAAGTGATTCTACAGAGGCAGCCGTATTGAGTCGGCATTTTTATACATCTTTAATTTTCACCAAATTTAATGCATGCATCTCAAACAATGTAGCGCCACCAAAGGGTCAAAGTTGGCGCTGTGTTCATGGAGGAACCATGTGCAAGGTTTGCCTCAACAAGTTCCCATCGATCGTCTTATAACCTGACTTTGTGCTGCCACTATCCACCAATTTTGCAGTCTCACAAAATATGGCACCAACGGTAAGATCTAAAGTGTATCTAGTGTTTGTTGGATAACTGCATCCATAGCTTGAGGCATCACTTTACAGCTCCATGAGATGCCTTGTTGTGGAGATGTGGCCCTGTTGCTATAAAAAAAAGTAACTTAATTTGCATGAAATTTGTTCTGTGGTCTCATTTGGTGATGCTGATGTTAGCCTTAAAAAACTAATCAGTGAAAAGAAGCGTGAAAACTTACGGCCGACACATGGAAACACCCCTGACATAACCGCCATATTGGATTTCATCAAATGGTCACAAATTTCTTCCAGTCTTAACCAAAATTTACACAGTTTACATTTTTACATCTGAAAGACCCGAAAATGGTGATGTAGCTGTTACAAAGGAAGCAAGGACATGCGATAGGTCATACTGAAGCACTGTGAGGCAACTGTTGTTGTGATTTGGAGCTATTTAAATAAAATTGAAGTGAAGTGAATCTCAGCAGCTTGTGATGAATGGTTACTGAACCTGCTGACTAGACTTGGAAGCACTTCTTGTTGCCCTAAAAAGCCCAGTTTGACCTCTGAGTTTGTTGGATTTAGCCAAAACCTGCTAAATAGGAGAGTGTGTGTATATGTATATATTCTTTAAATGGCCTTAAATAATAAAATTCAAGCAGTTGTGTCTCCCGGTGTTTTATCTCATATTTTTTGTCCACTTTAAATCACCGCTTTGGTTTACGCTCCTGTTTTTTTTTCTGCAGCTTCACTTGGAGTTCGTCCCGGCTGGACAGGAACATGATCACGGTGATGTCGGGACACACTGTGGACTTCTTTGACAACGACTTCCGAGAGCTGTACGCAGTGTCTGAGCAGGTGGACCTGTACAGAGAGTTCAACATCACTAAGCCGCCTCTTCCTACACCAGTCATGAAGCCAAAGATGCAGCACATCCGGCCTCTGCCCGTCACTACATCTCGCTTTCAGGTATCGGTTGGGGACTCCAGGCAGATTGACCTGAAAGTTCCTGCGCATAAGTACCACAATCCCAAGTACTCGCTGGTTTTCGGGAACAGTTTGGGTCTGACGGGTTCGCTACAGGACTTGTCGACTCAGAGGGACTCGCTAGTAGGTGGGTTGAACCAGAGGAACGGTCTGCAGAACGGCTTTCTCAATGCAAACAAGGAAAAGTTGGACCGAGCCTCCCCACAGAGTCCGGGTTCACCTACAGAGGAGGATGGAAAAGGAGGTCAGAAGAACCAGGCAGACGGACCCAAAAAGCGCAGCTCCTTCAGGCATTTCTTGAAAGGCAGAGGAGCCAATCACAGTACAGACACTATCGAGGAAGGCGTGGTCACTCCTCAGAGCCCCTCCCCCACTATCACAGCAGACTGTAAAGTCTCAGTGGCCAACAGGGTTGCAGGAAATGAATCCGACGACTCATTTCAGTTCATTGAGAAACCAGGACCACTGAAAACCAAAATCAAGAAGCCGTCGAAGTTCATTCAGAGGAGCGTGTCTATGCAGACCATCAGCACGGCAGACGAAGACGGTGCGTCATCACAGATCTTTTATTTTATAATTCAGTGGTCCGAGTGAGCAACAAGGCAAATATTTCCTGAGTGCTTTGTCTATAAAATGTTTAAAAAGTAGAGTTACAAACTAACATGTAAACTTTTTGAAAGTCCAGGATTTTCCGTCTGATACACTCACATTAAAAGCCTCTATCATCAAAGCAACTCATTTCTGGTCCACGTTAAATGGCAAGTAGCTGAAACGATGCTCTTTAGTTTCAAATTAAATTTCCGGTGGTGTTAAATATTTAGATTTTGAATCTAGAGCTAGATGTACATGACACTAGAACATCGTAAAAGTTTTTACCCTTTTAATTTCAAACCTGACTTTTTTTTGTTTGTTTGAAACATTTTGGAAAATATCTTTTGCCGAGTGTTTGCAAAGCACTTTATCTTACTAGGAGATTCAAAATTGCAGTGTCAGAAGAAGAGAACATTTGAACCTTTCTGAATCCTTAGCATTTTTAAGCTTTTTAAAGACATTTCAGGGACCTGCAGGAGGCCTGTGATGTCTGTCGATAATATTTGTGTTTTTCGTTTCGTCATGGTCAAGAATCAGTTATTGTGTGATTAAATTGAAGGATTTTTTTCCCCTTTTATTTACCAACAGGGTTCAAAAGTCGCCGCCGGCATCAGAAGAGGAACTGCATCCAATCATGAGAAAAAACACGAGGATATTCGGACACTTTAGGGTCTGGTTGTTAAACCTGCTGCAGCGGGTGAGTCTCTGTATCGCCTCACTGCAACCAGCTGACATTTCTTCACGAAAAATGAGTGCAGTTTGTCCCTCTGGACACGTATGCTGCTTCAGGCTGAGCTGAAGGTCAACACTAGAGACACGCTGCAGCTGAACTCCCTCGAGACGTTTTCGGCCAAAGTGCTCGTGGGAGATTTTATTGCCACTATTAAATGTATTTTCTACACTTTTTTGGTATTAAGTTATTTTACAACTAAAGTGTTTTCATGTTTTACACTCGTGAACCTAAAGACTGAGAGAGCAGCCGATGACTGATCCAGGTGACATAGATGGATTACATAACACCTCTTAGGTATTCTGGTCTCCATGGGGACAGGAAAAGTGATCAGACGTGGTGTTGTACCCGAGTGTAACCTTACTGAGGACCCTTGGCAACAGTGTTTATGGGAGTGTGTTGTACAGACTGTGAATAATGTATGAGGAACTGTGCGTCTGCACTTTGGGATTTTGTTTTGATACGCAGGTGAAACAGGTCGGAGAATAAAATGGGAATCCTTGAGAACCACTTGAGACACAAATGATCTGAACTGTTGCAGAAATGGAATAAAAACAAAAGGGAAAAAAAGTGTTTGTGTGACTTGGTGTCAGTTAAAGAGCAGCATGCAGACAGATAGCCTGTTATTTTCAGAAATGTAAACCAGGGGAGATCGCTTTTTGAGCCCTGAGATTTGATGAAGATCAACAGCGAATATTCAAAGCTTTGCCTGTCTGCACAGCAGGAGGTGGGGGTCAGGTCTTATGCTGCTTACAAAGTTAGAAGGAACACGATGTCTCCTGGTGAACTATAGCTGAGTGCTGCTTCGTGGTGAGGGGTACAGATGGGGAGGGGTGCCTCTTTCTGATCTTAAGCAAGTTCCTATAGATTTTCAGTTTGGTGCTTATTTAAAAAAAAAAAAAAAAGTCAATAACTCTCAGCCAATAACTGAGGCTTAGACTATGAAGCAGGTTCAACATAAAAAGTCAGGCCTTCTTTGCATTTAATTGCCCAACTTGACATAAAACTCAAGTCAGATTTAAGAGAAATCACACTGGTTAGCAGCTTGAACTCTCTGTATCAGGCTCTGACAGTAAAGGAGCATTTAAAATGCATCATTTGACTCTTCCTCCATACAATCTGGGTCGATTGCGCACCGCCTACTTCGGTCAGAGATATTATCAGATAGAGTAAGCTAGAAAAGAAATCCACTCTTATGTTAAAAACAAGTCAAGAGTTGGTGATGCTGCAGAAAATTGTAACTTTTTGTCTCCATGAGTGGACCTACATATTTGCTTCACCACTTAATGCTGCAGGTGATTTAAACTGTCTAGAAAACTGGATACATTGAAGTATCAGTCCATTCATGTCTGACAGTCGTAGAGGCCAATGACAGAGACCTGCAAATTAGTTTGTGGTCAGATCACAGAGAAATTAATCAGATTTTATCTACTCTGCATACAGACTGATTAATTTTCTAATGTCTGATCTATTAGCCATAATTCCAGCAGTGGAAAATGGAATTTGGGTACACTAGGACCAACTGAATGAATGTCTATTCTTCTAAATATGTGGTGCTTTTTGCACTGGTGTAACTTTGCTGCACACTGCTTTGTTTCTCTCCGGTAGTTAATTACTCCAGTTAGAGATTGTAGTGGAGAAAATCAGTGAAAATGTTGAGCTACAGAAGAGTTTAAACCAAAGCCCTGAACATAATTTGCTCAGGACCAGGTTCTGAGTTTAGCATTGGTTACCATGATGACGTAAGGGTAAGACGGCAGTCGCCTTCATCACAGTGAAAACCCGTTGTATCTCGCTAACCCCCAAAAGTTGATTCTGTTCATCTGGACGTAGCGTTTTCAGTGGGAGAAACGTTTCGTCACTCATACAAGTGCCTTCTTCAGTCTCAGCTGACTGCAGGTTTCCCCAACCTGAGACACTGTACATTTACATAATGACTGAAACCAGCCCACTGAAAGAACAAAGGGCTGCGAGGTCAGTTTCTTCATCATAATTATGCAAAGTCTCATGACCATTGATCAACAATATATCTCACTAACCTATTTGGGGAGGGTTAGGTACTTATTATAAATTTCTGTGTTTAAATAAAGCGATTAACTAGCTCTAACAAAATCAAAAATCAAACGTGTCTGTATTGTATATAAGAGATATCAACTGAAGCCAAATTAGGGCCGGGTTGTACTTTTCTGTAATACCTTTTTGTACCACAGGATGGTGCTGCGAGTCATGTGACCTGTTTTAGCTAGACACATTCTTATTTATGGCTTTTTGAGGACTGCTTGCTGCTTGCCCCCCAGTACTGCAAGGGGTATACTAAAACTTTTAAGTTATAATGTTTTAATTACAACATGCTAACATCAGCCAGCTTTTACAACAACATGACTTTGAGGCATTACATATTAAAATGGTGTATTTTATTAATTTTACCTGTATGATTAGAGCAGAATTGGCTTCTGCAAGCTGTAAAAACTTGAGATTTTAACTCATTTACTGCCAGCCATTGGCAGTGAATGAGTTAAACCCATTGACTCATTCACTGCCATTGACGGCTATAGACGTCAATGGCAGTGAATGAGTTAAGATATTTATGTAGTGTGTAATTTTTTAAAAACTTTATGGCATCACTATACTATAATAGGGCATCGTATTGAAAAAACAAAAAGTGCGTTGTACAGCTCCTGCCATGCCCTTTCATTTGATATATTAGTCGATGCTGTTTATTGAAAAAAGAAAAATTCATCGTAAACTTTGACCTTGGGCGCCAACAGTGAAGCTCAAGGTCAAATGCTTAGCCATTTTGCACACCCCACGGCCTAGCATATTGGTGTGAAGTTTGAACACGATTAAAAATAAATTGTGGGCAACATAAAAGAGCTGTTATTGTTACCTACCATCACACAAAATTTAAAAATGATATCTTGAAAGCTGCTAACAAACAGAACTGATCATACAGTTGTCAATTGAATATTGCATCTGCACTTTGGGATTTTCCCCCCTTCGGGGAAATAATAATTCTACTTCCTACTTACAACCTCAGTAACCACTTTCCTGATGACCTCATGTGCTCCGCTTCTAGTTTAAAGGCTTATTGGATGACAGATGAAGGTTACTTTAGAAGTTTTGGTTCCTTTTAAGGTCAACAAGAAAAGAAAATCATGCTTCAAGTTCTTATAAATGTACACTGTCCTCAGTTTCACCTCTCATTTGTGACATCCTGTTTTGAAAATGCCAAGATGTTGCTTGTGATAATGCTCAGCTCAAAACTTTCACAGAAAAACTTCACTAACCGATAGATGCTGCGGTGGCTGTGTTGGTGTTTTTTTTTACTGTCCAAACAGTCAGAATTCACGCAGTATTTAAGTCACTCACCTGAGTGGAGTCACTCCCCATAACAGTGAAGAGGCGCTGACATCCTGATATTTAGGATGAAGCCGTTTATGTAAAAACAAAACAACCGCTCCTGGCTTCAACTCCTTTATAGTCACTACAAAGCAAAACCTCCCAAACCCAGTATCACAGCAAAACATGTAACAGCCATGCCAGTCCACCAAGGTTTTGCCGTGATATTGGGTTGAACATCTTTATCGGTTGTGTAAGTTGTATAAAGCACTTTTAGTGCTTCGAGTCCATTTATCATACACATCAATTGAAGCTGTACATCAGGGTGTTGAATGCAGCCCAAGGGGACATGACTGCTCAGTTGATAAGTTCAAGTCACACTGAAAAAAACATTAAGTTACTTTTGCAAATTGTGGTTGCTCTAGGAGTCAGAAAGTGCAATTATCTTGGGTATTTCCTCAGCGAACTATTTTTTAATCATAAGTTGTTAGCAGTTGCGTGTGCAGTTTCACACCCTCGTTCATCACACCTGTTTTAAAACACAGATGGTAACTGTGAAAACATTCAGTTCGAAGCTTCAAAATGGCACAAATCAACCACAACTCAGTGGGAGACATTCTTTTATACTGGTCTGTACTGGTAGCCAAGTAGATTACAATGGTTTTAATGGTCCAGACCCCTTGAGATGGCGAACAGAGGAGAATTTGACACCTCTGCTCTAAACACTGAGCTCAGTGTTGACTTGCTCATGCACGTCTCATAGGGGACTGATATTGCCCATATTTAAATACTGTAAGTGTAATTAGCCACACGTGAAATATGGATGTTAGCAGTAAAGTTTCTCGATTTAATAATTAATTCTGCAGCCTCCAAACCAGCTGAAACAAGCAAACAAACAAAAAAGATCAAGTTCACGTTAGTTTATTTGTACCTGTGGATAGACTGGAACGTCCACACAGGAGCCCTCCACCCTCACATGCATGGCATAAGCAGATAAGCCTAATACAACGCAATGATAATAATAGTAACACATAAAAACTGTTTACTCATGCGAGTGATGGTTCCAGGAACCTGCTTTCATGCCGTGCTCTTCTGCACTTTGTGACTGTAAACCTGCATCCTGAAGAAAGAAAGAGAGTGAAACTCACTGTGTGAAGGGTGTAACAGTGAAAACATCTGCCTGCTGTGCAAGGATGCTGGGTTCAGCTGTGGCTCACCAATCAGCCTGTAAGACCGTTTTGTAATTTGATTGAGTGAGTTTCTTACAGATAAGAATCCAAACCAAGACTCTAAAGTAGAAGGCATGGCACTTTGAAAGTGGAAATAAGTAAGTTTGCTTCAAAGTAACTGTTTCCAAATAGTGCACACATCTCACCGTCTGACCGAATCGGGACACATCTGTCCGCCCCCTTCAAACAGCGGAGCAGTGAGCGTGCTTTTAGCTGGAGTGATCATTTTGCAATAACCACGAGTCAACATGTGACTGTTTACTATGCTGACTAATATGGGTTTGGTATGTGTCATTTTATGAGTGGCAGATAAGGTGGTATAAACATAAACCATATCAGGCTACTGTGAGAGAAATATTCATGAAATTGACAAAGAAAACTACAGAGTTATTTTGACTTCATTCTTTGAGTTTGAGCTGTGTAGGTTCACATACTTTTGAGGGGAGATAGGTTTTAATTTTTCAGCTATTATTTTCTGTGAGAAGTCAATTAAACACAAAGGTTAGATGATGCAAAGTTGCATAAAGAAACACGTTTCTTTGGCACACTGTAGGTTTGAATAAAGCTGTGAGAAGATATATATATATATATTTTTTTTTTTTCTCTCTTGCATGTTTGCTCCCAGGAAACCACAACTCTATCACAACATCAGACATGCTGCATCTTCACAGGAAAAGCATCACATATCATGTTAATCTGATAATAACAGGAGCAAAAATAACAAGATAACATATGATGATATGATGTCGTACCTCGCACAGTAATCATCACAGTAATAATCTGGTTAACATATTCAGCGAGTCACTGTTGGGGTTAATAATTCAGCATGAGCTTCCTGATCAAAAGAAAGGGTGTGGAGTGGTAAAGTAGCGCCATCTACTGGAAAAAGAACTGCACAATTTTAATATACGATATACTTTAATACATGAAAAGTAGTTTGATTACCACACAAGTATAAAGTCATTAATTTATACAAAAAATGATCTAAAACATGCTGTACAAAGATCTATAACTTAAAATTCATTTGAATATACAATAACAAAAAAAAAAAATCATATTTTCATTTACAAAACAGCTGGAGCAGGTTTACAAAAGTGCTAAATGCATTTTTACACAAGCTAAAGTGTGACTATAGCACATCAGGGTCAAGAAACAAGTACGAGTGCTTTTTAACCATTTGATACACATTTACAATAACCTGTACATTTTATTTGCTACATTGGTCTGTAAAATCATCTACTTTAAATATTCTAATATGAACAAATAAATATATGTAACTTCAAATAGTCTGCAGCCACGGGGAGACTAAGAGTTTACAAGTACACATACACAAACATCTGTGCCATTGTATTTGTGTTTTTGCTTCATTTCTGTGGTTCATTTTTGTAAAAATTTCTTTAGGTTCACAAAAAAAGTTCTTTTTCCTTTTCAGTTCGCATTATTCTGTTAAAATGACAGCATTCTTTCATTTTTTATTTGGTTGCATTTATTCTCTCGTTTTAGATGCTCACAGACGAATCCTGCTGCTGTCTGATGCTGCAGATTTGTAATTAATGCAAAAGAAAGACTTCTATAAATAGCTGCAAGCCACAAACCTAATTCAGATCCCGATAACTGTGTCAAACCTTGACCTTGAGTCTCATTAGTTTGGACAATGCTGTTTTCATTGGAAACCTTTCTAAATTTAATCTGATTCAGTAAAAAGGACTAGATGTTACAGTCCCTGATAATGCATTGCTTTAGATGGAGAGACTCTTGAGGGATGGCTGTTATGAGGAAAGGCAGCCCAGAAACTTTGCCAGCAGCACGCATGGTTGTGTGCCTCAACTTTCGGTCTTTTACCCAGGCTAATCTGCCATTTTCCTTCCTTGATTAGGTTTAGGGATTAGGGATCTAATCTAGTTTATCATTTTAAAATTTGGGACACATCGTCAGTAGTGGACCTTGGATTCATCGGGTTTAATCCAAGTTAAACTGTGGAACCAATGAATCAAGAAAGGCTCTCTACAGTGTTTATAGACCTGTGCTGATCCTCAATATGTTTTCCGATTTTTTCCAGTGTACAATAAAAAGGATATTTTACTTTTATAATCATTTTTGGCTGCACACAAATGTCTAAAGTCTAAATTAAATTCTGACAGTTTTCAAAAGTTGTGGCGTTCTTCTGTTATCTCAGTCCTTTGATGTTAGGTGGTCATAAAACTCAGTCAGACCAGTGTTAAGCCGATCTTTCTGTTTCTTATATTCCACGTTTTTTTTTTCCTCCTGCAAGTATTGAAGTTCAATCATGCAAACATTATTGAAAACCAGTACTTGTGCTCTCTCTGTTATCTCAGCCAGTGGCTGCATGCACAAGGACACCATGATGGGAGATACTTTCAAAAGAAATTGAGTTTTCAATCTCAAATTCAATCTCTGAATTCACTTCATCAGTAGATTCAGCTCATTAAATTTCTGTGCTGAGATTTGACAACTACCTGTTTTTCTCTAGGTATCCAATTTGGGAATCTAGCTGTAGTCTTACAAACAGTGACCCTACAAGACCTCCAGTCTCTGCAAATGCTGGTTTATGACACATTGACATCAGATGTGAAAAGGTGCCAGATGTTGGTCTTTTGTAAGTCTTTTTAAAAAGGAACTGAAGATGAAGTAAAGGCACATGTAATTCCAACCTTATTCATGCATGCATTGAATCTGTAACCTAAATGCTACCAGGTCTGACCGAACAAATGCCATCTCAGCTTTCACAACAAAGTGACCACAGTGAACATTTATTCAATAAGCTGACAAGTTCAGATGCTTTCATATTAACAGAAAAGTGTGCATGTCTAAAAGGCGTGCATCAATTTATATTTTGATACTTTGTTGGCATTTTGTGTCTCAGTGAAGTCAATATGTTTCACTTCAAAAACATTTTGTTTCTTTTTGAAGTTGTTTTCTGTCTCTTTGCAGTTGTTTTGTGTCTCTTTCTAGTCATTTTATGTCTTGCTCAAGTCTATCTGTTTTTTTGTGTGAAGCTGTTTAATCTTTGTGGTCATTTTCTGTGTCTAAAGTCGTTTTATGTCCCTGAAGTGTCCTTTTGTGTCTTTGTTATGTCTCTTTGAGGTCATTTTCTGTCTCTTTGTAGTTGTTTTATGGCTCTCTGGAGTCGTTTGAGTCTTTTTGTGGTCATTGTATGTCTTCTGGGTTAGACTTTCATGATTGTTATAGCTTTGCAGCAGATGTTTGTCCGTCAGACTTGTCGCCCCTGAAGTCGGAGCAGCAGTGCATTAATTTTGCAGAAGTAATGTGAAAACCACGGTTCACTTTTCTCCTTTTTACACTACAATTATCACATCCCAATTTGCGCAGTTCTTTGAAATACAGAGCAATGACGTTTTGGTTGTATCTTTCGTGAGCAGTCATTAAAATGAAACATGATTCATCAGCCAAACTCATCCATGATCACTGATGGTGCTGTGTCAGTCCTTTGAGGAAGTGTTGCTGATGATCTTTCTTTTGCGTAGTGTCACCAAGTCATAGAAAGGGTCCTTGGTGATGCTCGCCCTGAGAAACAACATTTAAGAGATTTAGTTTGAAAACCAAGACCTTCAAGTAACAGTAGAAGTAGCAGTTTTAAGCATTTTTTTTTCAGTTTTGAGAACTTGAGTGGTGAGTGGAAATCACTAAAGAATGACTGTAAAATGACTTTATTGCACTCTTTGTAGGCCTTTCTTAGTGCATGATCTTAAGAACACTGAGATGGACATTTTCAGATATTCAATCTTGATGATGACTGTAATCACTCTAACTTAGCATTAACCCTTAATCACTTTAATCTAAATATTTACAGCTTTCCCACCAGCCTCTATTCTACTTCTAATGTCCAATAAAAATGTTAGCGTGATACATTTTGATAATGATCCCATGTTGCGGCCGTGTAACTAACCAAATGGTAGCTCATGTAATGAATACCCTCGTCGTCCCTCACTGACTACCCTCTAACAAGCACAGGGATTGATGTTTTGTCAAAGCCAGAGAAATTTACACTGGGAGTCCTTTAGCATCAGTGCTGTCAAGTGATTTCTGGGTGCAAGCGTCTCCTGCATTGAATGCTTGTGTGTTTTTAATGTCTTGCAGTTTCCAGCCAACAACAGGGATGTCAAACATAAGTCCAGGGGGCCAAAATCAGCCCATTAAAGACTAAAATCTGGCCTGCTGGACGGTTTTGCAAAATATGAAAAAGGGCACATGTTTTTTTTTTAAAAAACAACAACAAAAAAAACAGAATTTTTTCATTAATCGACAAAAAACTTTACATTTTATAAAAACAGAACAGTCTGAGCAGTGAGCTACCAGAACTTTTTATGTAATTTTACATTTTTATCATGTAGAAAAACTGAGCTGTGCTGTTGAAATTGAACATTTATTGATCTTGTATTAAGATGTCTCAGAGATTAAATGTGTACTTAAATGTCTTTACACTGACAGTGTTTCACTTCACTTAAGATCAAAGTGGGCTGTATGTGGTTGACAACCTTGCTATACATTATTATTAGCACTACTGTGTGAAGCATGTCACCCACCCACTTTTAAAATAATGACCTGACATTATGCTTGACAGGTTGAGATGCTAGGTGGGTGTATAAAAGCCTGCTTTGGAGTGGCTTTCTTCATTTCTGTGCCTGCTTCTAAGTTCAGGTCCTTCCACTTCTCTAGCCTGTGGAGTGCCACAGGGTTCTATTCTGGGGCCTTTACTATTTCTGTTATAGTCACTCCCTCTAAGTTACAGATTACGCGTAGGTGCTTAGACTATTAAAAGTCAGATGGATGACAATTTTCTCTGACTAAATGAGGAAAAAAGTTGTCTTGCTTGTGCTCTGGCAGATTTGTGTCTAAGATAAAGAAAACTCTAGGTCCCCTTCCCACTTTTGCTGAATCTTTAGTAGGATGTCTTTTGATTCAGACATCACTTTGGATGCTCATGTTACATATCTAAGTACTCTAAGTATTCACACCATTGCTAATTCAGTTGCATGGGCTCCCCATTAACTTCATAGTCCACTTTAAGACTCTGGTTTAGACTTTTAGAGCTCTGAATAGGTGAGCACAAGCATCACAACATCAGTGAACTTTTACATACATATGTCCCTAGCAGGCCCCATTAGGTCTGGTGTCTATATAGCACCAAAGGCTGAAAATTAAAGAAAATGGAGCTTTTGCATCAGTTACCTCCAGACTCTTGAAGTCTCTCCCACTGAGCCTGAAAAAGCACCTTAAACTCATCTTTTTGACCTTTCATTTAGGTAACCCTTTGTCTTTTTGCATTTTCTTATGGAGCACGTTGTCATATTTCTATAGAAATGTGTAATAGAAATGTATTTTTACTAACTAAACTCATGGTGTAGGCTATAGTGCACACCATGTGAAACCAAGCCTGATTTCAGTATGGCCATTAAGCTTGGGATCAGCACTTTTTCAAAGTGAGTAATTCAAACCACGCAGCATCACTCATGACTAACATCCCTCAACATAAATCTTAAATTGAGACAATGACATCAGACTTGAAAGGCCTCTTGGGATCATATATGGCATCATATGAATATACCAGGGGATCTGGAGGTGGCAGAGAACTAAAGTCACCAGAAAACTGAAAGAGAATGTAAAACACAGACTTCCTTCTTATGCAGATTTTGTCACTGTTTCAAAATCATTTGCATTAAGCATCTAATTTTGCCATAGCTGGTGGTTCAAGGTGTCTATGAAAAGCACACTCTGTGCATATCTGTCAGAAACAATAACAATTTGTTACTTTGTAGCTTTGACAAAACAGCCTGTGAGGTAGAAAGTTTAGTTATATTTATTCTAACACGCAAGAGTCTTTAAAACTCCCAGCGCAATTTAAATTAATTAGCTAACACTTTAATATTTTATTAAACCATTGGTTATCTACAGATAACACGATTTCTTTGCTCTGTATGGTTACCAGGCAATGAGTGCATTATAAAACTGCAGGTTTAGATTTGAGATGACATGTAGGTCATATAAGTTTGATCACTGTTGCTTGTTTGAACTCTTCCTGATCATGTGCTTCACATTAAGCCTCGATAAACATGAGTCACTGACACACGTGGCCGCCCACGTGTCCTCTGCAGCATCAGTTGCTCTCACCTGATTGCATCTATCCAGTCGTCCCGTTCCTCTGCGCTGGCTGCACTGAGCTTATACGACTGGTGTTTACCCTGGACCACTCTGCCTTTGTTCTCCGTCTTGCAGGCCTTGATCTTTTGTCCTTTAGGATTATATAACTCCAGGCAGAACTGTTTAAACACACATGCAGACCCACATGTAGCACCGTTACTGTGTGCATATGCCTTTTGTTTATTTTAATAATCTTCTGATAGCCTCCTGACTCACTGTTTTGAGCACTTGCGCTAGAAATTCATTTAGCAACTGCTGTATGATTCATTGAGGGCTGGGGTGGCAAATAATATGTGTGTGGAAACTCAGCAGTCATACAGTGTGATGCAGAAAGTGAATGATGCTCTACCGGTTTGCTTGAGTCTTGTAGTGCCCTGACACACAGGTTCTCCAGAGGAATAATCCCAATTGGATCTTTATCCTGCAGGATGAGAGTGAAGATGTTAGACATGGCCATGTTTTATTGTCATCATGTCTGACTTATGTAGCGGCAGAAAAAAAAATAAACGTACTGTTGTGTATTCAAAGTAGTACAAGCAGCTGTCTGTCAAAATGAACCACCTTCTCTTCCAGGTTTTAACTCGACCACCTGCAATGAAGCAAACAAGACATTAGAAACACGAGCAAAGAGAAGCTCTGACGTCCTGTCTTGGAGTCCGGGTTTATGGTGTGGTGTTAGTTTCTTCATCTCACCTATTTTAAGGAGCCAACCCTCGCGGTCTGGATTAAAAAACGTCAGTGTGAGGTCATTCCCATCATCCTCTGGGATTTTGAACGGCTCACTACGGATGCTTGTGTACAGTTTCTGAAAATAATTTGAAAGTGCACAGAAACATCGAATAAGCATTTTTAAAATTCTGATTTGCGTAATTTAGTGCAGTGTACACAAGAAATCATGTTGAAACACAGATGTGACATTTTTACTAAAGGTTAACAGATTAGCATCAAAGGAACCTAACGTATATCAGCATATCAATAGGGAAAAAAACACAAGACAATGAAACAACGAAAAAAATCCCTGAATCTATAGATAACCATCAAGAAATAACCCCAAATGTGGGTCATTTCCTGATTCCTAAACATCCAGATAAACTCATATAAAATCACCAGGTTATTTTAGCCTGATCAATACCAACATTTTTAGATATTTTTACATGACAGTGATTTTTTTAAATAACATTACTTCATGTTGGGATACATGGTTAGGTCTATTAAATAAGTAAAAAGAACAGCATCTTAGTATTTAAAGAAAACTCAAGTACTCTGGAAGGACTAGCTTTCTTCAACCTATAATGTACTGCGTTTTTCAACCATTCACTCACTGCTTTTATTATCTATTTCATAAAACTATATACTAATTATTTGTGATTAACTATTCAAGTACATATACTACATA